GCCCCCCTGGTCACGGCCGACAGATGGTCATCCAATGCCAGCCGCGAATCCAGGAGGACTCCCAAGTTGCGCGCCCTCTCCGAGGGGGCCAAGATTTCGCCCCCTATAGTCAGCGATGGCGTCAGCTGACTATGCCGAGGCGCTGGCAACCACAGCCACTCGGTCTTGGAAGGGTTGAGCCTGAGTCTGTTCCTCCCCAGGAGCCCCAGTTCACTGGGGAGGGGCTGTTTGCATCTTCACTGGTGGGGTACCCAGCTGAAGAGTGTGTGGGAAGGATTTTCTTTGCAGATGACTGCAGTCAGTGCACGGGTGTTAGAAGGAAACATGTGGGACAGGTCTGAAAGACCCTACTCGCTTCCTTATCGCAATGCCCCCCCCCCTTTGCCTAATGCACGGAAAGGGTTAATGTCTTCAGAGTTGTTTCCTGTTGTGATTTTCCAAGAGGCCCCTTTGTCTGATTGCAGAAGGAACCGGATACAAAGGAGAGATCGGTTTTCGACATTCCAATATTTACAGAGGAGTTTTTAAACCACAGTAAAGGTGAGCAGAATAATAATTTTAAAAAACCCTCATATTCTCTATCTCCTTTCACATGATGCATGTTCTCAAAGTGTTGGCACGTGGTGTTGAGCAATGCTGTTGATATCTATTCAGGGCCAACGCTGAATTCCATAGGGCTGTGGTGGCGAACCTATGGCACATGTGCCACAGGTGGCACGCAGAGCCTTCTCTGTGGGCACGTGCGCCATCGCCCCAGTCCTAGGCCTTCAGCTGGGTTTTATAAAACCTTTTCGCTTTAGGCTTCTGCCACTGTGTGCCAAAAAAAAAAAAGGTTCAATCAATTTCAACTTCTCACGGAAAAAAAAGATCTTGCAAAGTTGGAATTGATTGATTGAACTTTTTAGTCCCACCCAGTCTACCGTTACCACCGCAGCCACGCCCACCCAATGGGCCATGCCCACCCAATGGGCCACGCCTATCTGGCACCCGATGATACATAAGTGGGTTTTGGGTTGCAGTTTGGGCACTTGGTCTCTAAAAGGTTCACCATCACTGCCATAGGGCTTACTCCCAGGGAAGTGTAATATATGTATGTATGTATGCATGCATGTATGTATGTATGTATGTTTGTTTGTTTGTTTGTTTGTTTGAGTTTTGCAGTTCTGTGGAAATGGACAGGGTAGGTGCCCAGGAAATACTACATTAGTTTCAAGGTCAGATGATGTTTAAACCAGGGCAACTTTAAGACCTGTGGACTTCAACTCCCAGAATTCCCCAGCCAGCCCTGGTTTAAAACCTATAAGATTTGCTTCATTTTAAAAAAGGATGATGTGACCCTAAGAAAGACATATTTTTCTGTTGCTTTGTTATAGTAAATCCTGCAGCTAATACAACTGAATTAAGATAATGCCAAAACTGGCACCCTCATAGTGGCTCCCTACAGGACCTGTGCACAATAATTGTGCAGGCCTAGGAAAATACAGTCTTAAGTCCAGGAAACATGAATTTTCTTTAGCTCACTGCAGGAAAAGCTCCTTTATAGAATTTAGACATTTATTTAGGGTACGGCATCTACAGAGGTCATGCAGTTCCTTTGTGAAAGTAATGACAGATAAAATAAGGATGCCCAGATCTGCGTTTCTTTAATGTTTGTCATTTTGCCATGTCCTAGAAAAGATGGGCAGTAAAATTACACTAGCATTAATCTACTGCGTGATTTTTCCCCCAGTTTCCTTAGAAACCCTTTGATCAGAGTTGATAATACGTAACCGTTTGATTAGAAATCTTCCAACACAGCTTAGAAAAAAAACCCTTCATTTAATCTAATGAAATGCTGAGGGCATGTAGGATCATCTTTGAACATTCTTATAATAAATTCTTGCTTGCTTGCTAAAATTAATTTAAAAGTAATTTTATCCTAAATAGAATTCCAATATGACTCATCAGACACAAGTCTTCTTCTTTTACCTTTTAAAGATTTTAAAGAGAACTTCTTTAAAGAACTTGATATAAAACTTCTAGATCAGGGTGGGGAATGATGGCCCCTTTATGACTTGTGGGCTTCAACTCCCAGAATTCCTGAGCCAGCATGGCTGGCTCAGGAATTCTGGGAGTAGAAGCCCACAAGTCATAAAAAGGTCATCGTTCCCCACCTCTGTTCTAGATGGTATCGTTGCAGTTATGCAGCATTCTTCAAATTTGGTTAATGTTCCTGTTGCTAAGATGAGTTTAAAACAGGGTTTCCCCAACTTGGGCAACTTTCAAGACATGTAGACTTCAACTGGCTGGCTGGGGAATTCTGGGAGTTGATGTTCACCCGTCTTAAAAGTTGCCAAGGTTAGGGAAGAAGAAATTGTTGTACTTATTTCATTTGAAACTGTTGGGACCTCTCAGTAGTTCTGCAGAATACATTAAGCAGAAATTACCTTCATTGTGTAAGCGTGCAAATGCAAGTAGATAAATGGGTACCACTTTGGTGGGAAAGTAACAGCGTTCTGGGCTCCTTTGCATGTAGTCTTGGCCATATGAAACGTGGGTGATCACGAGACGAGAAAAGAGAGGAACGATCCGTGGTCCAAATCTTTCCCTGCTCAGGCCAAATCTTCTGAATTTTAGATACGGGATTCTCATACTCTTCTCTGTTGTTGTCAGCGCGAGAAGCCGAGCTGCGCCAGCTGCGCAAGTCCAACATGGAGTTTGAGGAAAGGAACGCGGCCCTGCAGAAGCACGTGGAGAGCATGAGGACCGCGGTGGAAAAGCTGGAGGTGGACGTGATCCACGAGCGCAGTCGCAACACGGTGTTGCAACAGCACTTGGAAACGTTACGACAGGCTCTAGCTGGTAGCTTTGCTGGGGTCCCCTTACCAGGTGAATAGCTCTAGCAATAGCCCTTAGACTTATATACCGCTTCATAGTGCTCTTACAGCCCTCTATAAGCGGTTTGCAGAGTCAGCATCTTGCTCCCCCAACAATCTGGGTCCTCATTTGACCAACCTCGGAAGGATGGAAGGCTGACTCAACCTTGAACTGGTTAGGATCGAACTGCTGGCAGTGGGCAGAATTAGCCTGCCATTCTGCATTCTAACCACTGCACCTCCACGGCTCTTACACAGGCCTTTAGTAGAAGAACCACCTCCTTCGCGGGGTTATGTCCACCATCTTCCTGTTCATGCTTGGTTTTGATCTCGTCGATGTTTCACATCTCGAGATACCTTTTGAGAATGTTTAGAAATAGTTCTCCAGGCTCCACATCCTAGATAGACATGTGGACTTCAACTCCCACGGCTGCCTGGGGAACTTTGAGAGTTAAAGTCCCCAAGTCTTAAAGTTGTCAAGGTTGTGGACATTCCTGCTCTAGAATCTGTCAAGATCCAAAGGAAGCGATGGGAATGTGGGTCATGCTTGAGGCTGGCGCTTCACTTTGCAGCCCGCTCGCTTACCATCCCATTTGGTTTTGTGGAAGGTTGTCTAAAAAAAAACAAAAACCAAGAGCAGAGCATCAAGGTTTGTGTGGATTGGACCACGGTTGCCTTCAGATGCCACCAAGGGGCCCCGGGGAATCCTTCCATTTTGCTACTTGGCTAGTGACACCCTGCAGGTTCCCTGCATTCCTTGGGAAGGCAATTGCCAAGTGGCCGGTCTTCTGTTTCTATTTTCCAGGGAGCGGGGAGACCCCCACCTTAGACACTATTGATTCCTACATGAATCGGCTGCACAACCTTATCCTGGCCAACCCACAAGACAACGAGACTCTTATAGCGACAGTCCGGGAGGTTATAAACCATCTTGAACGTTAATCACTTGGTGAGTTTCTACCTTATCAGGACCTCGGGCAGTTCAGAGCTGAATTGAAATCTTGGCCCAGAATCCCAGGGGTAGGCCACCTTGGCTCTTTTATGACTTGTGGACTTCAGCTCCCAGAATTCCTGAGTCAGCATGGCT